GTTTTGTGGATTTTTTCCTTGCAGGCATTCATAATGAAATTATTCCTGGGGGAATTCTGCACCACTGCACACGCACAGAATTCAGGTCCCCTGCAGAAGTTTTTTCCGCGGAAAATACATTCTGCCAGAGAGGTGCTGCAGTTAGGCTCTTCACCCACCCAGGCTACTATGGTGCCAGAATAGAGCACAGCTGCTCCTACTCAGGAGCAGCCAGCTGCAGAGGGGGAAGTGGGAGGAGAAGAGGCAGCTTTCCTCAAAGTGCCCTGCCAAGGGGGGCAGGTGAGGAGGCACAGCATATGGTGGGGACAGACAGCATGGGGCACTTTGGGCTGCTGCAGGGGTTTGCAGATTGGGGTTCAGAATGGCTATAGCAGTGATAGACAGTGGTGGGGGCTGAATATGGCTTATGGCAGGGCCACATGGGGACAGGGCAAATGTGCCTGACTGAATGATAGGCTAGGGTCAGCATGGGAGAGGCTCCACAATTCCCTCCCTTCCTCCTCCCCCAAAAAACTATTCCATACTTCTCCCACCCACATCCAACAACCCTGCAGGTTCATTCCAAGGCTTCTTTCCAGCAATTACTTCCCTCTTCCTCAGCTCCTATATTAGCCCTGATTCCCCCAAGCCTTTGCACTGCGGGAAATACATTTCTATATTGTAGTTTAAATGAATTATAACTCAAAGTTCTGTATTAATATGCCTACTAAGAAATTTATTGGTCAAAAAACATTTCCTGAATCTTTTTTGTTGTCTGTATTATTACAGACATACTTGCTGACATTTATTTTGAAATAAATTACCAAAATAATTGAAACTGGTATGATTATACTGTGGTGTTTTGACATATAAAATATGCAGAATTTTACAGAATTTTAAAATAGTGTGCAGAATTTTTAATTTTTTGGTGCAGAATTCCCCCAGAAGTATGAACTTCAAACATAAAACTGTACAGTAATAGGTAACAGAACTGCACTGAACGCCTTTTCAAAGTATTAAGACACTACAAGACCAAACTATTATTACAATTCAAAATTTTAAATTGCTATGTTGGGCTAATAAAATGATTTTATTTCCTGTAAAAAATAAAAATGGTTTAAGAACAAACTAATCCTTTTTAGATTTATGTACTGAAAAATTCCAAGTACATGGTAGGAGTGTTGGATTAAATGTTTTATGCTATCTTTTTTTCAACCTAAATAACTTTGCACTGAGCGTAATCAAAAACCATTCTGAAAACCATCTGGCCCCAGGACCTTGCAGTTTATAAGACCAGCAGGAACTAACTCTCAGTATTCTGTTATTCCTTTTGAATTCACCTTGGCTCATGGAGAACCCAGCACCTTGATAGAAAAGACTTCTAACAACGTTGCGTGTGTGTGTGTGTGTGTTTGAAAAATCCTTATCAGAGACCAGATTATAAACGTCAAAGGGCTGTTGGCAGAATGACAGCCACTTCAATTTAACCACCAAGAAAAAGGAATGCAGATACTGTTTCTAGGCACCTAAGGGTCCTAGAGTCATCAATTCGGTTTCAGGGGCAGTCTGTTTTGCTTCCAATATAGCAAAATCATTGCAATCAAAATAATTTAAAAAATTTAAAGCACCCTTCTCCCCCTCTGTTCTCCAACTGCTATTTTCACCTTTTTGTGGGCATATTTATATGGAGGAGGAGGCTGTATTTAATGACTTGAGTAGGGATTGATGCCATATTAATTTCTCTCTCTGAATTTTCATCTGATAGAGTGATCTGTTTATTTTTCCAGCCTACTGGAAAATCCTTTCACATTTATTGGATTAAATATGTATACAGTCCATAATTTGGTATCTGAATTACAGTGGTAGGGGACATTTAACAGCATTTAGTTTCTTTGCTTGTTTAAAAGCACCATTATATTTTATACTTCTAATAAAATATATTTGGATAATGGGTTTTAATGTAAAGGAATTAGAATGACTTTTGCACATTTCTTCTTTGTTTGATTCTATTTGCCAGTTAATGTCCTACAAGATTTGTTTAAATCTAGCTGATCCCATAGTAAATGTAGCATTGTTGTGTTCAGAGAGGGAGCATTGCACTGTATTTAAATTTTGATTTAATTTTTAAATGCATCCATCCAAATCCTTATGAAAATACTATAATATTTTGCAGCAAAGTTCCAAAGCACTACAGCTTGCAATAGTAAGTAATACTACTGCAATGTTTGGGGCTATTCCTTTAGGATACTGAAATTCACCTAATTAAGATAACATGTTTCACTATTAAAGTGAAATATAGGAATGTCCATTTATTTTGGACTAGATTGTGTCTTTGCCAAAAGCCCTGATGAGTTAAGGGGCAGACCAGGGACCATATTTTGACTCCGTCTCAACATACTGCCTCTTTCATCCCTCACTCCAACCCTATCCCCAACCCAGATTGTTTCCCCCACATGCTGGTTGGCACAGCTAAACTGGCATGGAAACAGTAAAGTGAAATCTCCATCCAATTCCCTGCCAATCTGCATGTGATGGGGGGGGGAAAATCAGCCTTGCAGAGGCTGCTGTTCCCTGAGATATCCTTATCTCTCTCAGAAGAGAGAGGGTGTCTTACTCCCCCCATACTCCTCTGAATGGGCACATACTAGAGATCACAACTGTGCCTTTTATTGCCCATAGCCGTATCTCAAAATCACCAAGAAGGTGGATTACATCAGAGCTGTAATACCTAACAGACTATCACGGCTAGAGAGATTAAAGCTAGAAAGGTTCCCTGTAATGTACTGATCAGAATAAAACCGACATCCATCTAGAATTTACAAGCACATTAAACTTGAATTAAATAACATTCTCAGAGTTACACAAGTTGTACTCCAGCAGAGTATCCTTGAACACCATGCACATCCTCATTGTCAGATTTCAATAAACATCTCACTTGTCTTTATCTACATCAAACCTAAACCTTTTGACATCTGACCTAGGCTGCCCTTCTATGCTTTAAAGGACAATGAACAGAGAGGTGTATGCAATCAAACGATTGAGCCCAACCCCTTGGAACAAAAATCTATTCTCATGCTTTGTTGAAAAACAAGCATCTTGTGGAAAGCTACAAGAAAAACTTTGTTTTCAGTCAAGGAAGTTTTAAATTAGAAAAATACCTTTTAAAAAAAAAAAAAAGGCTATAACTTCTCTTATCATATCAGTCCAGAAGAGGTAGTTTGCCAGCAGCTAACATTCTTGCAGAAGAAACAAATGCAAGCATGATGGCCACCTTCCTGGAGGTGACACAAAGGGGACTGAACTGGGAACGTCCAGAGCTAAAACCAGGAGCTGCATGAGCTAAAGAGAGACAGCTCAGTAGCTGGCTGCTGTAATAAGTCCTCTATTCTCTGGACTGGCACAGAGGGGGATTTAAACACCAGTGGTTACACAAACACATACATACTGTCATTTTGACTATTTGCTCTCAGAGATGTTGTTTGCTACCTGAATGAAATGGGATTGTTTTTGCTCACTGATTCGTTGACAATCTTTTGTAATGGGAAAATAAATGGCAACCAACGCTTATCTGAATTTTCAGCTGAATAATTATTTGGGCTAAAATTCATGGAACTTTTGGGATTCTCTAACATCTTCATAAATAAATTGGCATTGGTCAAGGTATTCAAACAACAAACCATATGACACCATGAATAACATCTTAGCAAAGTTACCACATTTATTCACTAAAATATCTGCAAATCATTTTTAGTATTATCTGAACAGCTCTAACGTACAGACTTCCATGTCAATCTTTCCTAAGGATTCTCAAGTCTCTTAGCTTTGCTAGTCTGCTTTCCAATTTCCTTCAACTTAAGCACTGATTTGCTATAGTTTATTTTAGGAGAAATATAGACTTAAATTTTTAGAAGTGACCAAGGATTATGAGTTCCTCGATTTTAGGGTGCTTGACTTGACACTCCAGAAAGGGATTGCTTTTTAGGGGGTAGGGACTCAGCATTTTTTGAAAATCAGACCCTTTTAAGGTATCTCAACTTGGGCATCTAAAAACTTAGACACTTAAAATCACTAGTCACTTTTGAAAACATGAGCTAAAGTGTGCATTCTGGAAGGAACGAATGAAACATTCATATCATCATGGGACTGGAATCGGTAGTGTCTAAAATATCTGAAGCCCCACCTATTTTTACATAATAGCAATTTCTACCTCTGAGAAAAACACTGGAATATTGGGAATATTTGTCAACAGTTTACTAGAAGTAAAGGACAGTACTTTGGCTTTAAATGAATCCATCTGTAAGATAACTAAACAGCTGCAAAGAGATCTGTGGGTGTTCCGTTCTTTTGGAAGTCAGGCCATTAAATAACTTATCCATAACTTTGGTATGACTAAACTTGTTATGAGATTTCTCCATTGCTGTGTGACACTCTGGTGTAACTAGTTTAATCAGCCCAGTTCTATAGTAGAAAATGTTTGTGGGTATAACTGTACCAGCAACTCAAGGGCAGATTCAAGTTATACTAGCAAAAACGTGATTTTGCTAGTATATTTTATACCAGTTTGGTGAACAAAATAAACAATACTGTCAAAGCACTTTTTTTGCTGGTACAACTACATCTACACTAAGGCTTTTGCTGATATATAAATGTAATTAAAAAATGCATACCTCCCACTGATAGTGCTATACCACTAAAATTTTCTAATGTGGGCCAAGCCTATGAAAGTGGCTTTATTGTTAGAACTCAAATAGAAATTATCAACCCTAGCAATTAAAGATCATAAAAGTTAGAGATGAAAAAGACCCTCAGCTAATTGAGTACATCCATTCAAGTGAGAGATACAGGGGGAAAAACCTCAGGATCCACATGGCAGGTCCTTAATGCAAAAGAGGAATCCAATTGACTCCCTTTGCAGGATCAAGACCTAAATTTGTAGAACAGTAGAGAGAAATCTGGAAGCTCTATGAGAGGGGAAAATTATTGGCATGAAAGATTCTACACAATTAACAAAACAGAACCACTTGTACAGATACTTGATATTTAATATTCATTATTAGGTGAAATACATGATTTCAAAATTCCTGTTTCAAAAACATTGGCCCTTTCAATTTTAGGGCACCTCACCTACACAAATTTCAGCCTGACACACATGCAACAAAATTCTCAATGGATTGACAAAGTGAGTTTTATATTCTGTGGATTGCCACCTTTTTCTTTTTTTTTCTTCGTGATAGCTCTTGAGACTTCATCAAGCAGACTCCAAATTGTATGCTCAAGGACTAGATACACAAGAGAGCCTCTCCAAGTCAATTTAGCAATAGGCTATCTGCTTTTTTTCTTTGGTACAGAAAGCTTTAAAAGACAATATTCCAAAGTTTTTGTGTCTTCATCCCAATGTTGAAGAACCCTGCTGACTGAGTCCCAGGCCAAGACAGGCACTTGACTAGTGACCTGATGGTATGGAGGCCAGTTAATCCATGTTGTGCCTGAATCAACTGTAGTTGACAAAAAAAAATGGTTCTGGGTATGCACAGGACTCAGTTTAAAAGTATGAGAGTAGGGAAAACTCCTTTATTTAAGCTCTCCATTCCAGAAGGCTGAGGCCATCATTGAACAGAAAGAAAATGTTTCTAAACCCTTGTTGTTTTTTCTGTGGAATAAAACATATGAGGATCTTTTCTGCAGAAAAGATTCATATTTAATTTTATATAAATATGTGGAAACTGAACTTTATAATGTTGTTTTTAAATGAATTAATGTTCAGTTCTCTTCTTGTCCTTTCTTACTCTTTTGTTCTTTCCCAATTGCTTAGATGATTCTTCCTGGAAAAAAAAAATCACACAAATATGATTTCAGTAATCTCTTGCCTTCTAGTAAAGACCACTTTGTTTTTCTGTGCACTGCTAACATTCTTTTGAGGTGACTCACTACACTTAATAGTGTAATCAGTTTAAAATATTCATAGTTCAGAGATTGTGATCATTCAGACTTGTATATTTAACAACCTAACTTTCTTATTTAGTAAATTTTTGTCTTGAGCAACTCTAAAACCTTTATTCATAGTTACAAAAGGAATTATCGCCCTGACTCTGACCTCGCTTACAACAGTTAAGCTCTTCAGGGCAAGGATCTTGTCTTCCTCTCTACATCACCTAACAGAATGGACCTCTGAACCTAACTGGGGGCTCTGGGCACTGCCCCAATAAGCACTCAGATAATAAGGAAGAGAGCTGAATGAATAGATAAGATAAACATAATAACTTCACACTGGTGTGACTTCACTGAAGTAACACCATGTTAATCGGGAGTGGACCAACATGTGTGCTTCACTCACTATCTTGCACTTTAGGACCAAAAAATGAATGAAAGTGCTCACCCCAATAGCCAGCTGGGGTTTTGGTGGAGGCAGGAGCAGTGGAGACATATCTCAACCAGAAGCAGCTAATGCATTGTTCCACATGCCACCTTGCTTCCCACACTCCCCCTTCACCTCTGGTGGGTATGGGATGAGGCTGACTCCTGCTGCCACTGGGTAGGTGGACAGAGGAGGGGGTGCAGGGCTAGATGATTGGCTCCCATCTGGTGCAGTGAGGAAAAGGCAGTGATAAGGTTTGCTTCTCAGGTGGGGAAGCCTTGCAGGCTCTCTGTTTCAGCCCCACTTTTAAGCTACTAATGCTGGATCTCCTCTGATGCCAGGGGCTAACTTGACAGCCAGTTCTGCAGTTTCCTTACCTGGTGAGATTAGCAAGTTGCTGTGTGAGTTTTTTCACCTTCCACATGGCATCCAAGAGGTTTGAGAAATTTAATTACAATTGTTATAACTTTGGTATGATCTGGTGGATTAGGAAGGGTACAATTAAAGGCCCTAAACCCAGCAGGCTGCCTGGGCATTGGTCCCAAGCACTTTCATGGAATAGCAATGGAGTATGCCTATATGTCTCATGGAGCTTGTGACTTACCTCATCTCGTGTCTCCTACCTCCAGCATGGAGGAAAGAAGTGGGTCAGGACTCTAGCTTCCAGTCTGGGGTGCCTGGCAGACCTAAGGATGACCTTCACTCTCATGTTGAGGTTTATAATACATTGGGGTGTGGGGTGGCTTATCATAGTATGGTATGACTTGTTAATAAAAATACAGCCTCCATATTTAATCACATTATAGTGTCTGTGTCTCACTGTTTCCGTGTTCAAATCAACACACAGTGTTTACGAGCTGACGACAATGCAGGGCCTCCAGTTTCTCATGTCTGGTGTAAGTATCAAACACATCTGAACCTGCTGTAAAAACCTGTTTCCTTCCTACTAGCATGCAATTCTCACATTTCATGTATAATTTACAAAATGCCTTTGATCCTTTACTGGAAACTAGCATTTAAAATGAAACAGAAAAGTCCATTACTGGAACACATTAAAGAGCATGTTTGCATCCTGATTGCTATGCTGAAGACAATTAGCAAAAAAGAACACTTTTCCAAGAACCACAGACACAATTGCTATCTACAGCACTAGTATCTTTAGCATTCATTTGATAAACATTTCACTGAATGATGTTAACCTCTACAAAGGAGATCAAATTACACAAACCTTAAAAGGAACTGAATCAATCTGAAATAAAGTCATTAAAAAAAAACGCACCAAAAGTAAATCCTGACTCCCTGAGGACAATTTTGTTTTACAACCACATTTTCCTATTTTGAAAGAATATTTTTCTTTCCCCTGCTGCTGTATGAACAATTCACAACCCACACAAAAGAGAGGAAATGGACTGACTATATAAGGAAACAGTGAAACTCAATATACACAAAGTGCTGTGAAATGCACAAAGTAAACAAACAGAAAAGGGGGAAAGAAAATTCTTATCTCTTTCAGTTATAACCATCTTAGATGCACTTTGTATCAGAAGTAGGAGGACTTTTTCATGCAAAAGTGTGATTTTTGAAGTATCCCTTAAACAATTGATTCCAGGTGCCTGGATCCTTTTAGAGTTGGCAATTACATATTATACACATACATGCATATCTACAAACATGATTTATATCTTCTAGAGTGAAGAGCAGGAAGGGAACAGAAACATTAAGAGGCAGGAGAAGCTGGCATGGATGGTAAGGTGCAGGAGGTAGGGAACTTGAAGTTTCAAAATTTGAACTGTTTGGGAAAATTAGAGGAAAATATAATTTTGATACTTAGTACTTATACCCATAGGCGCTGACTCCATGGTTGCTCAAAAATGGTGGATGCAGCCAGATTCCCCCCTCGGCTTAGTGCCTCCCGCCTGCTGGCGGCTCCGCCAATCAACTCCTCCCCCTTCCTCCCTGCGCCTCCCACCCACCGCGATCAGCTGTTCTGTGGCATGCAGGAGGCGCTGGGAGGGAGAGGAGTGAGGGCGGTATGTGCTCAGGGGAGGGGGCTGAACAGGGCAGGAAAAGGCAGGATGGGATGGAGCAGGGGCGGGGTAGGAAGGGGCAGGGTGGAATGGGGGCTTGAGGGAAAGGGTGGAGGTGAGGTGGGGGGGGAGGATTGGGGAAGGGGTGGAGTGGAGCACACACACCCCCCCGGCACATTAGAAAGTCGGTGCCTCTGTTTATACATAACTTCTATTTCAGTACTTTGCAAATATTATTTCATCCTGTATGAGCAAATACTATTGCTGACACCAGGGGTGGGCAAACTTTTTGGCCTGAGGGCCACATTGGGGTTCCAAAACTGTATGGAGGGCTGGGTAGGGAAGGCTGTATCTCCCCAAACAGCCTGGCCCCTGCCCCCTATCTGCACCCTCCCACTTCCCACCCCCGACCACCCCCTCAGAACTCCCGACCCATCCAGCCTCCCCTGCTCCTTGTCCCCTGACCACCCTCTCCCAGAGCCCCCTCCCCCTAACCTCCCCCCCCCCCGGACCCTACCCCCATCCAAGCCTCCTGCTCCCCAACCCCTGACAGGCCCCCCGGGACTCCCATGCTTATTCAACCACCCCCTCCTCCCTGACTGCCCCCCAGAACCCCTACCCCTTATCTACCCCCCCGCTCTCTGCCCCCTTACCATGCTGCTCAGAGCACCAGGACTGGCAGCCGCACTGCCTGGCCAAAGCCAGCCCCGCCACCTCACAGTCTAGAGCACCGGGGCAGGCCAGCGGCTCTCGCAGCTGCGCTGCCCGGAAGGAGTTCACAGCCCTGCCGCCCAGAGCGCTGGCAGCACAGGGAGCTGAGGCTGCTGGGGAGGAGGGAAAGCAGGGGAGAGGCCGGGGGGCGAGCCTCCCCGGCTGGGAGCTCAAGGGCTGGGCAGGAGGGTCCCACGGGCCACAGTTTGCCCACCTCTGGCTTACACAATATATTACATAAGAAAGAATTATCATCTGTACTTTACAGATCAGGAAACAAAACCCAGAAAAGTTTAAGAGACTTTCCTGTGGTCACACAGGGAGTCTGCGGCAGAGCTAGGACCAGAACACAGATCACTAGACTTCAAATTAGTAGAGCCCTGCAAATCCACAGGTATCTGCTTTATATACATGGACAATTTTTGCGGATAGCAGTGCAGATGCGGATACAAGTTTTGTATCCGTGCAGGGCTCTGACGGTAAGAGATGGACAGGCAGCTGTGAGGTACTGCAGAACAGATCCTCCACCTGCCCTGGGCAGGGATCATGGGGGGCAGGGACACGGGGTCGGGGGCTGCTCAGGCCCCACGTCCAGGCCAGGAGGAGGGTCCACGGTGGCTCCGCACAGCGGCCTGCCTGGCTCTTATCATGTCAGGGCTATGGCTCCAAGCCATCCCCTAGCCGAAGCCAGGTCGGGGAGAGCCACGCTGGCAGCTTAGGGGAGCCGCAGCAGACCCTCCACCTGCCCTGGGTTGGGGGGCTGGGACACGGGTCGGAGGCTGCTCAGGCTCCCTGCACAGGGCAGGTGGAGGGTCTGCCGCAGCTCCCCACAGCTGCCAGCGCAGCTCTTCCTGACTCAACTCCAGCCGGGGAGAGGGGTGGCTCAAAGCTGTTGCCTGGCAACGGAAAGAGCCTCCCCTGGGCGGGGGGCCCGAGCAGCCCCTGGGCAGCTTCACAGGTCTCCCCCATTCTCCCGGCTACCCCAGAGTGGAGCCCAGCCAGGGAGCCGTGGGGAGTTGCGACCGACCCTCCACCTGCCCACAGTGCGGGGTTGAGGGGCTGAGAGCAGCCCACGGCCATGTCCTAGCCCCCCAGGCTTCCTGCCTGGCTGAGGGCAGGTAGAGGGTCCGCAACTCCGCATGAGCTCCCCACAGCTGCCCACACGGCTCTGCCCAACCAGCCTGCAGTGGTGGAGATGCCTCAGAGCCTCAGCCCAGCCCCCACTGTAAAGCCCTGCTTATCCGCGGATATCTGCAGATATCCGCAACGTGCGGATTGGATGCGGATACACATTTGTGTATCCGCGCAGGGCTCTACAAATTAGATACTTTAACCATGAGCCCATCTTACTCTCTCTCTCGTGGGCCTGTTAGGAGTAATGCCCAAATTGAATATTACTCTGGAAGACTACTTAAAACCATATACATTTGATTGCTGGGATTCTGTGCTAAGCAGGAGTGTGGGCAGTTAAGGGAAGACATAGGAGAGGGAATATAGTTTCACCATGGACTTGAGCAACACCACCAGGTGGTTTGTTATCAAGCTGTAAAATGTTTATATCAGCACTGTATAGTGTGGTAAAGTAAACATTTTCAAAGGCAACTAAGTGATGTAGGAGGCTAAGTCCCACTCAAAGTCAATCCACTTAGGTGCTTTTCAAAAATTGTACCCTTAGTCTTTTCTTTGTTCTTGATTTCCACTCTTCTAATCTAGTTTTTAAATGGGGAAAGTCTGGTGTTTTATTGTTTATGAATTGTTTACATGTTTTTCTGTACATATAAATTTCTTCTGAGAGCGGCTTTCTCTTTGATAAAGCATCAAAAATGTTGAATTGTACAATCAGTGTAGAGTGAACTGTATCATTTCTGAAAAACAGCTCACTGTAGTTAAATAACCTGAGATTCATACAGTGTATCAGAACAAATGAGGTGTTTAAGAAAAAAGAAAAAAAAAGATACAAGTATCAGACCAAATCCTGACTTCTTTGAAGTTAACGTCAAAGCTTCCATTGATTTCAATGGGACTAGAACTTGGCCTCACTCAATCTCAGGGTCATTTGAGATGGTGAGACCATGATGCTGCCTATCATGAATTTGGTTATCAGGCACGTATTCTAACTTGGGATCTCTAACGCCATAGTCTTTACCGATGTAAGTCAGTCAAATTAACCTTTTTTCTTTTTTTACTTTTACGTTTAACAAGCAACAAAACCAAAATTACACAACACAAGGAAAAATTCCAAAGAAGTAAAAAAACAAAGGGGAGTCTATGGAATCTTAATAAGGAGAAAAGTAGTGAAGGAATCTTTTTAACTGAGCTCTTAGGTTTAGCTTAAGCACTCAAAGGTTACCATGAGGCAGATCCTCAGCTGGTGTAAACTGTCATAGCTCCATTGACTTCAGTTGAGCGATGACAATTTATACAAATTGAGTACATGGCCCTATATGTTCAGATATTGACATTGTCAATCTTCCAGTAATAACTTACAGCTGAACTTGTGTAACTGTATTCCACTAGTATATTTCTGGCACAATTGTTGATGTGTTTAAAGCGATCTGGTCCTAGCCGGATACCTCCATACCAGCGGGATACCACAACCAAAACATTACGGACATTCAAAATCTGTTTTAAAAAACAAACAAACCCAGAACTTTATTTTAAATAGATAAACACATAAGTCAATAGTTTCTTTTGTATAATGAAAGCTTTTTCTTTCCCAAAGGAACTTGCAAGGGATATTATTAAAGGATACTTGTTGATTCACATTTATTATTTTTAAATATTGTGCATTTTTAGTTACTATTTGTATTGAGGCCTGAATCCCTGCCCCATGAACAGAGCTTCTATCTGCATTTTTAACTTTATCCTGAAACACTGTGGGGATTAGGGTAGGTAATTGTCTTGGGCTGGTTCTCTGAAGATTTTTGTAAGCTGCAGCTTCAGAACATGCACATGGAGCTTCTCAGAAATGCTCCAGGCCTGGGCTGCTGCCACTTGCAGGGCAGCAACAGTAGCACACGGAGAAGACATGAAAGGTAAGGAGAACTTCGCATCTGAACTAGGTTCTTTTCCCACCCTGAAAAAATAATTCTGGTGAGGAGGACTTGACCCTCATCTCTCCACTCAAACAGAAAGGTAAGGCAGATATTGGCCATTTGCCTCTTTTGTCCCTCAAAAATACCCTTTTCTAGTCCCTGTGTTTTTCAGTTAAGTAAAATGTATCTTTCCGCTTTACTCCCCCCACCCTCCAATTCTCTTTTTATAAGTGCACTGGAGCCAGAGAGTTTTGCCTAGCAGTACTTGTAGGAGGCAGTGCTTGTGCCTCCGGCTCATAGCCCCTCCCCTGGCTTTATGAGGCTGTGCCGCCTCGACCCCCTCAGTTCCTTAGCTCCGAAAGCCCAGATATTAAACTCCGATGAAGAAGGGATGGAGGATGGGTTGTGGAATACATGTCTGCATCACATCTTGAAGAACCACAGTGTCAGTAAGTAACCGTTTCTTCTTCCAGTAGATGCAGCCATGTACTCCACTTAGATGACTCACAGGCAGTACCCAGAGGAGGCGGAGTCTATCTAAACAAGGATTCCAGGATTGCCCTTCCAAAGTTTACATCAGCTCTGGAAGTTGCAGTAATGGCATAATGGTTCATAAATGTATTTATGGATGACTATGTCGCAGCCCTGCAAATGTCCAATATTGAAACGTCATCAAGGAACGCTAGTGACATTGCTTGCGCTCTCATAGAATTAGCTCACATCCACTCAAGAGGTGTAGTTGAAGCTATTTCATACGAAGACTTGATACAGGATGTTATCCATCTGAAGATTGTTTGTGAAGAGACTGCTCGATCCTTCATACAATCCCCATACAACACAAACAGGTGAGGCAAAGCACGAAATGCTTTAGTCCTGTCAAGATAGAAGGCTAGACATCCCCTGACATCTAATGTATGGAGATGCTGCTCCTCTAAGAGATGGATGCTGCTTAGGAAAGAACACAGGTAATATACTGCCTGGTTCAAATGAAAGCCAAGAGACCATTTTCAGTAAAAATTTTGGGTGCGGCTGTAAAGTCAATTTGTCCTTGGAGAACTGTGTATAAGGTGGTATTGTAATCAGAGCCTGCAACCTGCAGACTCTACTTGCAGATTTTATCACAACCAGTAAACAGTTTTCTGGCACAAAAGTGGAAAGGAACAAGATGCCAGAGGCTCACAGAGGTCCCACTAAGGCTGCCAGTACTGTGTGACGGTCCTACAGAGGAACCAGCTCTCAGACTGGAGAATGGAGATGAAGAAGCCCTTTTAAGACTCTTACTACCATGGCACTGGAAAAGACTGATCTTCCAGGAATGGGGGGATGAAATGCTGAAATTGCCACCAGATGCACCCTCAATGAGCTAAGCACAAGGCCCCACAACCAATGATGCAGCAAGTACTGGTTAGAAGCCAGCATCAGTTGAACTCTGCTGGCCGACAACCACACAGAAAACCATTTCTATTTCACCAAATAGGCAATTCTGGTAGAGGGACTTTCCACTGTTGAATAGAACCTGTTGAAAGCCACTGAACAATGCTCTTCCTCCTTATTCAACCATGAAGCAGCCACGCAGTGAGATGGAAAGGAGCTGACTAAGGGATGCAAGCTGTGACCATGATTATGCGTGAGGAGATCAGGATGGAGAGGAAGGGATATGGGAGGCTGAATCGGGAAGGTCATACAACCAAACACTGCTCAGCCATACTGGGGCAATGAGGATGAACTTGACCTGATCCACTTTCAGCTTGAAGATGACCTACGGAACGATCGGGATCAGAGGAAACGTGTACAGAAGAGCCAATTACCAGCTGAGATAGAAAGCGTCAGTCAGGGAGCCTGGACCAAATTGCCCATAATGATAAATATAATAAACCCAATTCATCCCTCGTGTAACTCCATGAACTTCAGTAGTTACAGTATTGCAACTCAGGCATAAAATTGGAAGTTGTCCAATGGAACACATATATGGATACACGAGATCCAACACAAATTCACCTGCAACAGCTCAACTATCGCTACCTAGCCCAGACAGATATGTTTTATATGGCAATTTGTATAGAGAATCCTTATTTATGTAACTGTAAAAATATTGTCAAATTGTTCTGCCTTTGTATGTGGAAACAAGAATTCAATAAAAATTACAGCATAAGAAAGAATAAAGGGACTATCTAGAAAAGAAGTGTTGAGACAATTTCAATACAGTTCATGTTTCACAATATACTTATACAACAATTGTGAGCTCAGTGAATTAACTCTAGCAAAGCAACTCTGGATATCAATTGTTCATATTAAGCAGGATGCCAAATGGCATTAGGAAATTGTTGAGCTCTCTATCATTTTAAATCTAAAAAATAAGTCTTAAATATTGTTTCTTCTAACCGGAAAGTACTATCTTGATTGAAGTGGTTTTAGTTTATCTTAGACAAGATAAGAGTCCTACAGAAGAGGAGACCATATCTTCACAGATCATATCACTAGAACCTCAGTGATAAAGAAATATGCCCAAGTTGGGGCAAGAGCTGGGGTGGTTGTTTTTTAAAAAATGGTGCAATACAAAAGTTCCCCAAACACTACACTTTCCTCAAAACTGTTTTTATTCATTCTTCATGAGAATGGGGAAGGATGAGCCATAGTATAGTTACTGCATAGAATCTAATCCTCTTCCCCAGGCATGAAGTATAATACTTTGTTCATTTCTATTAGCGGCAGAGGTTAATTTAGTCTACCTTGTAATTTTGTATCCTATAGAGCAGATATAAGAAAATGGAAGAGTTAAAAAAAGAAAAGACAGGTAGAATTTATGGTTTAACTTCTTGCCTCATCAAGTTTCAGTAGAATAGAGACTGCTGTGACTGCAAATGATATACTAACCTGCAAAAACTGCAAACCCCCAAATGAAAATGAAAACAAAAAGAGCAGATTTACAATTATCAGTCATAAGTGTGTTTAAGCAGGAAGTCAAGAGATCTCACTGAAGAGCTACAAATGAACTTATGAACTGCTACTACTCAAGCGCTCATACACTTTTCTTTCCCCTGGGAACTATGCTTTCCTGATCCATACAGAATAACTCTCTCAAATATCTAATTGATGTGGTGGTAAGCAAAGTGATGGTCCTAAGTAGAATCTTACAAGCTGGTGTGTACTGTTCCTTTGGGAACAGCAAGCCTGGTAATTCAATGAGTATTCAGTGAATAAGGGGCTGGACACTGCAGGAAACGCTCTGAGAACCTGGGAGTTGGTGTGTACCTATCATTACCTAATAGAACTACTTTTTTTAAAGCCACGTAATATATAGAATACTAAATCTATAGGGCTATTTGCAGAGCAAAAATTAGAATAATCTTAAGTGTGTAAAGCTGTAAGCCTTATTTATGATCTATGATTCTAAAACACATTTAAAACTATCTAAAGACAAAGTTTGTTTCCTTTAACCTGCATAAGATGGAGGAGGCGTCCACCTGCTGCTGTCTCCCCATCATCTTCACAATCCTGTAAGTACGTCTGTTTGTCCTCACAGTATATTCTGAAAACAAGCAACAGTATTAGAACCTAACCCAAAAATATCACTTAATATTTTTTACAGTGTGACACCCTGGCACACCCCAACATTCACCACTATCGTAATTAAGATATGTTTTTTATAAATTATGCCTTGTGAGGTATCATTCTGAAAGTCTTGATGTGCTAGACAGTAATATCTCATTGGATTGTACGTGCTATCATCGTATGTGAAGTTATGAAGTTTGGCTATGTAAGTGTTATTAAAACATGTTGTGAGGTTGAAAATACCCACAAATAGCCTTTCAGGTTCAACAGGAAAAAGGCCAAACAATGTTAATGGCTTGTTGAGGAAATGCACACAAGCACAAGGATTACCCCAGGAACTGTGTACAATAGAAACCCTTTCAGAGATAGCACTACACAGTGGGAACTATTTGACCCAGATCACAGCAAAAGATCTTTCAAGCAAGTAGGAAGAAGATATAAAAGGGGGACAATGACATCATGATGGTACCTCACTCTCCCTACAACACACCTGGAAACACATGAGGGGCAAGGACTGAACTATGGAAAGCGATGGTCCCAGGCTCGAGGGATTTTTAGCCTGTGTATGAAAACCTAGGAAAGCCAAGGCAGCTTGTGCCTTAAGAATCTACCAGCCTGTTTATCACTCACGGTGAGAATTTGCTAATTCATATCCTACCTATCTAGTGTGTTAAGCTCAGTTTGCAGTTTTGTTTATTTACTAAGATAATTTGCTTTGATATGTTTGCTATCACTTATAATCACTTAAAATCTATCCTTTTGTAGTTAATAAATTTGTTTTTGTTTTGTCTAAAGCCAGTGTGTGGAAATTATAACTTGGGGCAGAAAACTGTTGCATATCTCTCTCCACATTGAGGGAGGGTGTGAATTTTATGAGCTTATGCTGTACAGTTCCCAGGTCAGTAGTGAGTTATTAGCATTTGATGAATGTTCTGTCTGATAGGACTAGGACTTACACATGGACAGAAACTCATCTGAAGTCCCAAGCTAAGCAAAGAAAACCCTCACCAGAGTTCTGAATTTATTTACAAGTTTTTTAATGTGACCAAAATAAAACAAACTAATAAAATCTGTGGCCACATTCTCTACATGCAGCTCAACAGACTTTAAACACTAAATCAAATAATATGAACAAAGCGACTAAGCAGCTGTGGGGGCCTCCCACCGCCTGCCGTGGCTGGGCTGCTGTGGGGTCCACTCATTGCCCACCACAGCTGGGCAGCTGTGGGAAGCCCCACTGCCTGCAGCAAGTGGGAGCTTCAGGTTCCCTGTGCCACCCTTGGCGGCTGGAAGCTCTGGGAGACCCCCACCACCCACAGGGGCTGGGAGCTCTGGGGGGGACCCCCACAGCCTGCAGGGGCTGGTAGCTCCGGGGGTCCCCCTGCTGCCCAGCGGCTAGGATCTGCTGGGGGGCCAGCCACCAGCGACGGCTGAGAGCTGCGGAGCTGCCTGCTGACAACTCCAGCCTCAGGGCAGAAATGTCACAGAGGTCTCTGAAAGTCATGGATTCCGTGACTTCCATGACATAGCCTTAGTCATGCATGAGAGACTTACACATCAGGCACTTTCGGAGCTGAACACCCTGGAACAGGTGATTTATATTGAAAGGACTGTGTCCTCAGTCTAGTTCCAAACAATTATCCACACAATTGGCATCATGTCACTTGTTACCCAAACTGATTTAATGACCTTTGTTTGTAACATCACACTCAGTTATTATAGAAGCAATGTAATCATGAAAAGAGAATTGTGTAATCAGGTGAAGAATATGAAGCAAAAATAAGATATTTTTGGTTTTGTTTAAAGTGTATGTTGCTAGTGATGGAGAGAGGTGTCATACTGGCAATAGTAAAAACTAACATCTTCTGTTCACAGACAGGTTTCAGAGTAGCAGCGGTGTTAGTCTGTATTCGCAAAAAGAAAAGGAGTACTTGTGGCACCTTAGAGACTAACAAATTTATTTGAGTATAAGCTTCCGATGAAGTGAGCTATAGCTCACAAAAGCTTATGCTCAAATAAATTTGTTAGTCTCTAAGGTGCCACAAGTACTCCTTTTCTTTTTGTTCACAGACAGATATAGCATGCATGGTATTCAAGCCTCCTCTTGCTACCATTTTGCTCTTTGCTAGTACTACCACTAAAAGTAACTGTCTAGGTCAGTTTCCATGCATGCTGTTTCAGATCATTGGCTTCTCTGCTAAGACTGCCAACAAGGGATAACCGTCACTATCAGTTATAGTGATGGTGGTTTTTGTGATATGGATCTGGACTGAGATCAAGTCATATATGAAGCCAATGTGAAATTAGTTTAGGATAAGGAGTGCTACCAGCTGCCCTACCTATTATTAAGGTTGCCCACAACTTCCCATTTATAAGACCTCATTTTCAGTTTTTTATAACTTTGCCAAACTTTTACCATTTGGGTGGAAGTTTTCCATGGCAGGTGTCTGCCTCTAGCTGATTTTTTGGGAAAATTTCAGCCAAAATGCTTCATCCGCTTCCAAGAATGAGGCTATATTCAAAAATTCTAGCAACTTTTTTTTTTTTTTTGAGAAGCTCTAGTGTCCTCATGTTTTGGAGAATGGACTTGAAATTTGGCAGAAGACTGACTTTTACATCAAGGACACACTTTTTGTCATCCTTATTAAAATATGCCCAAACCTGGCCAAGATATAAGCCTTTTAAAAATCACAATTTGCACACGTTCAGCCTTAGATCTTCACAGCACAAACCTCTGAAGATTCACACTAGGCATGCTCCAGGCATGATCCATTCACATTAGGCATGCTCCAGCCCAGGGATGAGCAGGAATTTAATGTGCAACCTTAATTCATCCCTCTGGTGCATATGAATTATGATATAGTTCACATACTATCATTCCCACAGGACCCCTGTTTTATTTAGTGCACAGGATGGACAGTACTCAATGACTAGCTGTACAATATTTTGTTTCATCCTCACTGTTCAGTGTGTGACGCTAGGCCTTATTTACTGCACACTATTCAGACCCTGCTATGAACACAGGCAACCTTAATTCTGGTATTTCCTAACTTTTCAGTGCCTGACTTTGCAACCTTAAAAATGGTTCTTTCAATATGATTTTTGTGCAAGTAGTATACATAAAATGTATGTTTGTTTGTATGTGTTTCTCTTTCACACACACAAACACACAGTTTAACAAACACACATAAATCCACTGAAGTGTCTTTTTGGAAAACTGGAAATAATTAAATAACCTTCCAAAGCCAAAACCCTGCATGCAAATATTCAGCCCAGAATATTTTATTATCAAAATAAAGTAAATGGAAATGAGGACATTTAAATGTAGGCCAGGAAAACAGTTTATGGGATGTTTTACTTTATATTTATATGTACAATACAGTAATTGTACATTATCTTCAAAGCAGGGAGTCTCTAACGGATTTTGACCATGGAAACCTGGATGAGATAAAACATTGTTGTACGAGTACCATCCACACACAAACTGATTTTAGACATTTCCTGAGTAGCTTTTAAATATACTGTCCTCTATGTCCATCTTCACCATGCTTTGTGCACATGTATGTGGTGTGAGAGAGTGTGCATATATTTATTTCTCTTCCCATTCCAATCCCCAGTACCATACTTATTTATTATTTGTATTGCAATAGTGCCCTGGGACTTCAGTCAGGGATGGGGGTCTCATACAGATACATAAAACAAAAAAGAGGTTCCTGTCCCAAAATGTTTACTATCTATTTTTCTTTCTATTTTCATTATGAATTAGTGGACTCTGCTGGAAGGACTGTTTTCATCCAATAGCATTTCAAAGGGGTATGAGTAGATTCAGAATGATCAATAATTTTCAGACCATATGCAATCAATATGTACACTTTTGACTTGTAGTTGCAGATCACTCTTAGGCATTGTTTGAATACAAATGCAGCGTAAGAAGATTATGCGACCCTATAGCACAGTTTCTGATTTTTATTTTATATCTGTGATCTTCATGGTTGCTATGAGTATGTGTACTCATAACCAGACTTAATACTCTTAATGTATAGTTAGGGTCAAAGTTACTGAGGCTGAAAATCCTCTGCTCTTCACTCACCTGTATGCATATATGTTGTGGGTAGCACTCGCTATTTTCTTATTCTCATGCAATTTGGCAAGAACCATTTTCACCTTGAAAAACAACAACAGGGTTTGTAGGCATCATTTGTAAAGGATCTGTATTCAGATGTTAAAATAAACAATTATCTAACATTAATCTTGAATTGTTTTAATGTATCAAAAGAAATTGGTGTTTTAAAAAAACAGGTAACGTATCCAACATAGAAGAACAGACACTGCTATCCCTATATCCTCTGGATTGCCCTGATTCAGCAAGGTACTTAACTTTAAGCACAAGATGGAACTATTCAGATGTTTATGTAACTTGCAAAATCAGGGCCTATAAGCATTGCTAGAGCCCTCATCATTCTAGAATTTAAACACTATACAGTCTACAGCACACTCCCTTGACATGCAGGTGTAACTACCTAATGTAAGCAGTGGTGATTATACAGAGCACGATTCAAAGAAGATATAGAAATTATTGTAACATCAAAGGTGTTTACTTCTGGAAGGAAACATGAATTTTCTGATATGTCTCTCCTATATCAATATGCAATGCATCTGTTGTTCACATGAAACACCCACAGAACATATGGGATGGTCTCTAGAGCTGCACATTACACAAGTTTCACAAGCATACATTTTGCAAACTCAGCAGATTACTAGAATTCTATGATGTATTCTGGGGACAACGTGAGGAACAGTACTAATCTTTTCTTAAAAGGTGATGACCAGTTCATTCAGTAGAGCTTCATTTATTCATAGAGCTTCACTCTATGAGTCGAAAGCATTTTAAAATTGCTTTTGTAAATGTGGAGGAAGCCGATTTCTCTCATTTAACACATATACACAGTATGTGAATAGCAGAACCAAGCCATCTCTTATTGACTATTGTTCCAATTCAGCATACTGTTGACACTGTAAGAAACTGATAGGCTGGAAAGAATAGAGCTATTTAAATATACAGTATTGATGACTTTGTAATGTTCTTATTTTACTATGCAGAAAAATAATCTCTTAACAAGTTGCTATCTCTGTTTTTAAACAAATAGCACTTTTAAAAACATCATTTAGCAAATCAATATTAGTTCCTCTTCTGTGTCTAAATAAACAAACTTGCAATTGTTCTGCCCTTATCAACTGGGTCTAGCAAAGAAAAGAGCTTTGCTAAAGACACTGTTTTAGTAAACAATGCATAATTAATACTACTTTAAGCAAAATATTATTAAAGTTGTGAGAGCTTAAGAAAGCATGCCTGGCAAGCAAATTGTTTTTAATTCAAAAGAAAAAATGTCTCTCTGGAGTAATCAATATACATCTCAATATTAATCTTTGCAGTATGGTGCTATTCCCATTTTTTTCCCACAGTGAAATCAGTAAATGCGCTGCAAAAATACATCTAATAATAGACCTCAACAAACCATTTACAACATCTCAGAAGAAAACGCTGCTTCAAAAACCTATTTTCCTGCAACAATTTTGTTCCTTTTTAAAATATATATATTGAAGTACTATTTATATCACTTTACACACTTTCAGAGCTTTGTCTGAATGGATGCAATTAAATTATATAATGCACACAATCATTAGTTTTGAGACTGCTTACCTAAAATAGTGCATTATTTATTATCAGTCAGGTTCCCAAAAGCATGTAATAAAGGTTCATTCTAAAGAACCTCAAGACACACACATAAATCTAAGCAATCACATTATTTTGTTTTGGTAACCCATGTCCTCTCTCTATTTCCCCTCCCTACTATCCTACTTGTTGCATTTTTTTGGTATATTTAAAACCGTAAGCTACGAGAAGCAGAGAACGTGACTCTTTATAAGTGCATCAGGCACCTGGCAGAGTTTTAGAGAACTTGCTAAAGAGTAAATGATAACAAGGTGAGGGTAAAAAAGAGGGGAAATAGGAGCACTCAGTTATCACAAATTCAAGATGTTGAAAACAAAATTAATCAAAGAACCAAAGGACATGAAGAGAAGAAATTATTTTTAATTGCTCAGACTCCAATGCTAGGAGCCCGAATAATAAATCAGAGGAATTGGAATTGCTAATTTATAAGCATAAATTCAATCCCATTGATATTACTGAAACCAGGTGGGATGATCTGCACAACTGGAATGCTAAGATCAACGGTTATAAGCTATTTAAGAAGGACCGAGTGTGCAAAAGAGGAGGGAGAGTGGCACTCTGTCAAAAAATAGCATTATCTGTTTCCAAGTCACTGATCACTCAGAGGAAAATGATCTTGAATGCATTTGGATCAATGTCCTAACAGATAAAGCACAAGATAGGGTACTATTTAGTGTCTGCTACAGATCACCAAATCATACTAGAGACAGAATGACTGACTCCTTATGTGGCTATCTACAACGTGTAGGAGAAAAAAGCAGCATGATCATGAGGGACTTCGATGTGAATGACGTATGTTGGAGGTCTTATGCTGCCAATACTAAAATATCCTTGGAATTTCTAAACATTATAGATGAGACTTTCCTAACCCAAGAAGTGTTTCAACCAACACAGGGGAATTCTATATTAGACCTTGCCCTAACAAATAAACAGGAACTGATCGTAGAACTAAAAATTAATGGTAGCTTAGGTATAAATGATCATGACTTCATCACATTTACAACGTGCAAGCAGAATAAAGCCCAGAATAGTAATATATCTACCTGTACCTTACTAGATCTCCCAAAAAACCAGAATCCCACAATCAAAGAAGGCTGTTCTGGTTAAAAAAACAGCCTTGGTTAGAGGGGAGGTGATGGCAGCTGTAAAAAACAAAAAAAAATACTATATAACAAATGGAAGAAAGGTGAAGAGAAAGGTGAGTTCTGAAACAACTCAAATGTGAAATTGTGGAACTATTAACTATGGTTTGTAACCTGTCCTTTAAATCAGCTTCTGTACCCAATGACTGGAAGACAGCTAATATAACGCCAATATTTAAATAGGGCTCTAGAGGTGATCCCAGCAATTACAGACCGGTAAGTCTAACGTCAGTACTGGGCAAATTAGTTGAACCAATAGTAAAAAGAATAAAATTGTCAGACACATAGAACATAAATTGTTGAGAAAAAGTCAACATGGTTTCTGTAAAGGGAAATCATATCTTACCAATCTATTAGAGTTCTTTGAAGTGGTCAACAAACATGTGGACAAGGGGGAGCCAATGGACATAGCGTACTTAGATTTCCAGAATGCCTTTGACAAGGTTCCTCACCAAAGGCTCTTACGAAAAATAAGTTGTCATGGGATAAGAGGGAAGATCCTTTCATGGACTGAGAACTGGTTAAAAGACAGGGAACAAAGGGTAGGAATAAATGGTAAATTTAAAGAATGGAGAGGGGTAACTAGTGGTGTTCCCCAAGGGTCAATCCTAGGACCAGTGCTATTCAACTTATTCATAAATGATCTGGAGAAGGGTAAACAAGGAGGTGGCAAAGTTTGCAGATGATACTAAACTGCTCAACATAGTTAAGACCAAAGCAGACTGTGAAGAACTTCAAAAAGATCTCACAAAACTAAGTGACTGGGCAACAAAATGGCAAATGAAATTTAATCTGGATAAATGTAAAGTAATGCACATTGGAAAAAATAATCCCAACTATACATACAATATAATGGGGCTAATTTAGCTATGACTAATCAGGAAAAAGATCTTGACGTTATCATGGATAGTTCTCTGAAGATGTCCACGCAGTGTGCAGCGGCAGTCAAAAAAGCAAACGGGATGTTAGGAATCATTAAAAAAGGGATAGAAAATAAGACGGACAATATCTTATTGCCCTTATATAAACCCATGGTACACCCACATCTTGAATACTGCGTACAGATGTGGTCCCCTCATTTCAAAAAGATATACTGGCATTAGAAAAGGTTCACAAAAGGGCAACTAAAATGATCAGGGGTTTGGAACGGGTCCCATATGAGGAGAGTTTAAAGAGGCTAGGACTTTTCATCTTGGAAAAGAGGAGACTAAGGGGGGATATGATAGAGGTATATAAAATCATGAGTAGTGTGGACAAAGTGAATAAGGAAAAGTTATTTACTTGTTCCCATAATATTAGAACCAGGGGCCACCAAATGAAATTAATGGGCAGCAGATTTAAAACGAATAAAAGGAAGTTCTTCTTCACTCAGCGCAGAGTCAACCTGTGGAACTCCTTGCCTGAGGAGGTTGCAAAGGCTAGGACTAAAACAGGATTTAAAAGAGAACTGGATAAATTCATGGAGGTTAAATCCATTAATGTCTATTAGCCAGGATGGATAAGGAAAGGTGTCCCTAGCCTCTGTTTGTCAGAGGGTGGAGATGGATGGCAAGAGAGAGATCACTTGATCATTATCTGTTAGGTTCACTCTCTCTGGGGCACCTGGCACTGGCTATTGTCAGTAGACAGGATACTGGGCTGGATGGACCTTTGGTCTGACCCAGCAATCAGAAGTTAGGAATTGTAGAACACTGATAAGAGAAGCCAAGGGACACGAGAAATATATGATCAGCAGAGTAAGAATCATAGAATATTAGGGTTGGAAGAGACCTCAGGAGGTCATCTAGTCCAATTCCCTGCTCAAAGCAGGGCCAACACCAACTAAATCATCCCAGCCAAGGCTTTGTCAAGCCGGGCCTTAAAAACCTCTAAGGATGGAGATTCCACCACCTCCCTAGGTAACCCATTCCAGTGCTTCACCACCCTCCTAGTGAAATAGTGTTTCCTAATATCCAGCCTAGACCTCCCCCACTGCAACTTGAGACCACTGCTTCTTGTTCTGTCATCTGCCACCAATGAGAACAGCCTAGCTCTATCCTCTTTGAACCCCCCTTCAGGTAACTGAAGGCTGCTATCAAATCCCCCCTCACTCTTCTCTTCTGCAGACTAAATAACCCCAGTTCCCTCAGCGTCTCCTCATAAGTTATGTGCCCCAGCCCCCTAATCATTTCCGTCGCCCTCCGCTGGACTCTTTCCAATTTGTCCACATCCCTGCTGTAGTGGGGGGGACCAAAACTGGATGCAATACTCCAGGTGTGGCCTCACCAGTGCCGAATAGAGGGGAATAA